GAGCGAGAGCGATGGCTTGGACAGCTCGGGCCTGTCCTTTGGGATACCTCGACCCTTGCCCCTGCTGCTGTACCAGGAGAACATGAGGGGCGTGCATCTGTGCGACCAGCTGAGGGAGTGCTACCAGGTCGGGAGGCCGTGCAAGAAGTGGTGGCGCTACTTCCTGTGGTTCTACGTCAACCTGTGCATCGTCAACGCGTACATCGTCACGAGAGAGAGCCGAGGGGGCACGCCACCGGCGGGCTTCAGCGGCAAGCARTTCACCCAGCGCCACTTCCGCGTGCGCCTGGCGCAGCAGCTGATCGGAGACTACCAGGGGGCGAGGGGCATGGAGCGGGCGGCACGCAAGAGGCACGCGGACTCGCCCATCGAGTACGGGCACCGGCTGGAGCGCATGTCCGAGCGTTCCCGCCGTTGCAGGAACTGCACAAACAAGGGCCTGCGACACGAGAGCGTGTTCGGCTGCAAGATATGCAACGTCCACCTATGCAGGGGTGGTTGCTTCTCGGAGTTTCATAAATAAAACCGAACTCTCTTTTCCGTTTTTCTATAATTTGTGTACTCAAGCAACAACAGTTTGTAATTCCAAAGGTTACCACTACACGTGCACAACATAGTCACAGACTTTATATGTAGAGCTAGTTTTAGATTAGAGGATTATTGCACGTTTGTTAGAATAAATAATCAGAGAACTTGTAGATTATTGAATTAGCATAGAACGATTTGGCAACTTGCCTTCTGTAACACTGACAAAATTGCCTTGTGTCACTTTTTATACGTTTAAAATATAAGATTTTTTATATCTAAAAACAGAGAAATGAAAAATGATTCTGCACTTATGAGATATAAGAAAATGTTTACCATGGGGAAGTCCATCTCTCCTTTTTTCCAAAATAAAGACTTTGATATGACAAACTGAACTGAAGCATCTACTTCCTTTTTTTTTTGTGATGAAGCATGAAAACTGTGYGAACAGCAGCACAATGTTTGTAAATCAGCATCATTGAAAGCTTTTCTACATTTTGGGGGGTTTAAAATTTCACAGGGACACAGCTTGGAGCAATTAGAGGGTAGAAAAAAGTCCCCCGGTCTCTTCAGCAACCGGACCTGGGGATGTTGTTKCTCCTTTCAACAGCGCCGCCGCAGACTCAGAGGCATCTGCTGTCCTGTTGCAATCCAAACCTAAAAACTAGTTGTTGTGATGCAGATGAGGAAAGAAGGAAAGCCTCTGATCTGTTGGAATAACCTTTGAAAAATGTGTTTAATTGTTTAAAACAGTTTGTACATCAATATCAAGCTGTTTAAAAGTAGATCATTTGTTTTTAATGTATAATAAGAACGAGTTTAGAACTAATTTAGACTTCTAAAAGGCTTTTTTTCTTTGTGAAGTGTTCCAGCTGACAGGCCCTGTACGTAGGCAGAGATAGGCAGCTTCAGCTAAGCAGACTATCCGTCTCCAAGGTCCTTCTCCTTCTTTAGCTCTATCTCTATCCTTCCTCAGGCTCTGCTGTACCATCACACACACACATCCCTCCCCTCCTCTCCCCAGCACTCCCTCAGCCGTTCCCCAGCTGGGAGAGGGTTAGTCAACTGGACGCCCATCCCGCTGATCTGCGGGAGCCCCGTGGGGAGTTGCCATAGCAACCGTGGCCGATGAAGACAGGGAGTCGCCAGCAGGCCCTCGTGGTTGTCATGGCGCTCTCTCTGGCTACGGAATTGGGAGGTGCCAGAGGCCACGCCTCCCTACTCCTCTCTCCAAAAACCGAAGAGGGCTTTGGTATGGTGTGTGTG